CTCGTCGCCCCTCCGATGCTTAAGTCAGATAGGGAATTTAGTGCGTGAGGCTATAAACTGAAGATAATGAAAAACGTACCTTTGTGTTGAGCTTTGGCCAAGTATTTATAGGTGTTAGTGAGGGAGCTATAGAAGGATTCTATTATTGAAATAGTCCTTTCCCCCTTAGGATTAGGTGTTGGAGTGTGATTAAAAGTATTCTGTTAGAGTTCTAATCAGGGGAGGAGTAGACTTAGGTGGGATCTATTTTCTTTTGGAGATTAAGTCGGTGGGCAGTATTGGGACAGAAACCCCGACCTTGGGGGTAAACCCCGACCTCAAACAAGCCCAACTCACCAAGATAAACTCGGGGTATTAGGTCGAGGTCGAGCATGGTACACGAATTCAGGGAGAGTTCGGGGTTACCAATCCGGAATCATCAAAAACTAAAATACTTGGTCTGGCTTGATGAAGCTCGTGAGCTAACTTGGCTCGCAAGGTTGGGCTCAAGCTTAGGCTTGAGCTTGGGGTCGGTTCAATCGAACCCGAGCCACTCATGGGCTCAGGCTCACGAGCTCCCAATTTGCTCGAGTTCGTTGTCATCCTTACTTACAAGTTTTACTTGACCAAATTCAAACTTAATTTCTATATATTTGAAAATAATTTTGAGGTATCAACTAAATTATGAAGCTAATAAATTGTTTAACTTTGCATTAGTAATATAATGTATAGTTTATTTAACAAAATTATTAACTATGTGCAAATATCGTGGTGAACAAAACGCAGAAAATGGAAATCCTGGTTTTTGGACAAGCAAGCATGTCTTATAGGGGATTATTGGTGTAATTAATAGGAATTAGTGTATAGTACACAGAGCCGTGCACGTAAACAAAATTAAAAATTTGTCCTTAAAAGTAGAAGAAGTGCTTAAATGGTGTGAAACTTTCAAAATAAGCACGGTTTTATGGGTTATATTTGAAGAGATCAAACGAGTCTATAACATTTTTTTCTTCACTGGGATTTGAGGAAGGTGGGAGAAGTCAAGTTGGAGGAAAATAAAGAAACTATTTGACTAGTCAACTTCATATCACACGTCTGAATCAATGATAATTTTTACACAAATTATGTATGTTGACTTCAAAATTCGATAGTATTAAGTTATCGACAATTTTCTATCACCTTGCCATATACCTATACATAGCAAGTACAATGATATCTCATTAGAGGCAAATGTCGTTGTTGGGATAAGTGAAAAGGAATTTGGCTTATTTACTTGAATTCACTCACATAAATATGAAAGACGATGAGCCACATCGATCAAGATGCCCCTTTAATAATGTGTTTTTCCGACACATAAGAAAATAGGAAGAGTTCACAAATCAAGTTTTAACTGTGCATAATGCAAAATTCAGGTTACAAGTTTCATTAATGCAAAAATCGGGTTTTGACTGATTAATTAAAAGTATTTATTAAATAATGATAATAAAGTCACAGTTATATGATTAATGGTCACAGATTCACAATTATAAGTCATATATTTATTTATTGGTCACATATCATCAAATTAATTGGTCACGAATTTTTTCGAGGTCACAAATCAAAATTTTGATATGTCACAGTTATATGATTAATGGTCACAGATTCACAATTATAAGTCATATATTTATTTATTGGTCACATATCATCAAATTAATTGGTCACGAATTTTTTCGAGGTCACAAATCAAAATTTTGATATGTCACAGATTATTTCGAGGTCACAAATAAAAAAAACTATAAGTTACAAATGGTCACAAATTCACAAAATTATATGTCACATGTTAGATATTTTCAAATTTGATGGTCACATATTACTTTTTAGTCATAAATGATCGAATTTTAAGGTCATAATTTACGGTCACAGTCATGAAGGAGACCAAATAGTTTGTCACAGACATCCAACACCTAATCCTGATCCACCCTCATCCGGCACCACCACAACAACAGCACCACCACCACCACCACCAACAAAATTGCCACCCTCACCAACTATCGTCGTCGTCATCACCACCATATCAAATCATATACCAACAAAAATTAAAACAACTGCAGCCACCACCAACCACCTCCGTTGCCCGGAACCACCATGACTGCCACCACCAAACACACTAACAATACCTAAATCACACCTCACCAACACCACCCACATCACTACTGCCAACACGAACACCTCCATCACCGCTAGAAACCACAAGAACACCTCCACCACCACCAGAAGCCACCACAACAACCACCACCAAACACACCAACAACACATAACCAACATCTCCACCACCAACACGACCACAACCGAAAACGATCATAGCCACCAGGACCACAACCAACACACAAGACAATACACCACATCTTCGACATATCACAGACCAACCACATTGATTGCGGCTGCAGATCACAAATGGCTATGGTTCTGGAACAATCAAAGTTCACGCCAACAGATCACAAACCCCCTTGTTGTCGCCGTTGTGAGCGGTGAAGCGGTGCTCACACCCCTCGCCATTGCCTCGCCGTATGTCCCTACAAGAATGCTGCATCATGCGATGGCATTGCAAGGTGCCAATCGATCGGCCGAAATAGAGAGGGATGGGTAGGAAAGATGGATCAAAATAGGAAAAATCGCGTCCGATCGGTTGAAATAGAGAGGTGTGGTTCAAGTCCGATGGTAACACCGTTGCGCCGGAGATTCTCTTCCACGGCGGCGACACAACTGTTGAGAGAGGAGAGAGGCGCCGGCTGCTGAGAGAGGAGAAAATCGAGAGGAGATATTAGAGATGGGGATGGGGAATTTAGGTTTTGTAGTGGGTACCTGATTTTTGCATAAAGTTTCTTTACCTCTCAATTATGAATTTGTGAGTTTAAATACCTGGTTTTATGTAATGTGCCCTAATAAAATCTAAGCTTGGCCCAAACGCTTGAGAAGTTTACCATGATCTGATATGGGCCAACTCAACTTGCAACACTAATATCCCATCAGTTAATACAGAACCCTCTCAATCACGTAAGCACCACATTATATATATGTGTGTAATTTTTTGTTGTAAAGTTAATAGAATTACGATTTCGTTGAGGAGGTGATAAACTTGTACTCTTATATGCAAATCATCATCATAAAAAAATTACATGTGATGAAAGAGAAAGGAATGATCCCAACTATTTCCATGACTATATATTTATTTGATATTTTATATAATAAAAAAGAATTTGATGCGGCGACGTTTGCTCTTAAACAAGTCAAAACTGCTCATCTTTCTCCTATGAAAATCATACCATGGATGATGGATCTCACCAATAAAATTTAAAAGCGTAGTCTTTGAATAACATTATAAATATTCTAAATAATATAAATATTATGAATATGTGTATGTCATGGCCATGAACGTCGAGGGAGAAATAAAAAAATATATTTAAAATAAAATAAAAATCGACGAAGGCATATGCAAGTCAACTCTGATTTTGTAAAAATAAAAAATTATACCTCATAGAAAAAGTTATTCAAGTATTTTTACACCTGCACACGGCACACACACAATCCCTAACAATCTTCAACCTCATTGTATTGATCCTAGGCTTTTTTTTTTTTCAACGCCAGCTTCCAAGAAATCCTTTAATAAACTATAAACTCTAGCGTGAAGAAATGAATGAACACAAACTTAATTAATTAATTATCACAATTTCAAATAACAAAAGCTACCAAGTTAACATGAGAGACGAAGGAAAAGTGTATATATATACAAAAATGATCTAAGCACCGGTGACATGGCACATCATTTAATTGGCCAATTAAATAATGTGTCATGTCAACGTTGCTTAACATAAGTTTTATACATATAAGAAAGGAAAAATTGCAGCAACGATCTCTAACTTTTTCATTTTTTGTAGACTTTATTCAAACCTTCATTTTGAGCCGGCAAATGTTCCTAACCTTTCATAAATATGCACATGAGGTCCATCTGGACGGAAATCGTCCAAAACTCCGTCAGTTGACCAGAATAATGAAGGAATCAATATCCAATAAAATCTTCCAAAATACCGTCCAAAAACGTCGTCCAAAAAGGTATCAGCATCCAATAAAATCATCACAGTAACAGATAGTTCAAGAAATTTTCCCGGTCAACTGACCGTATTTTGGACGGTTTCCGTCTAGAAGGACTTTATGTGCATATTTATGAAAGGTTAGAGACTTTTGTTGGCACAAAATGAAGGTTATGATAAAATCTGCAAAAAAATGAAAAGGTTAATGACTGTTGCTGCAATTTTCCCAATAAGAAATTCAGAGACAAAATTAACAATTGAAACTGTAAAGGGTTGAGAATTCTGTCTTCCAGTTGACAATTTTCCAGATCCGATCGCAAAGCTCTTCAGTTTATTGGATTTCGTATTCTACGAGAAAATTATGTCAGATTTAATATTATTTTTTGAATAATATTTAAATTTTTAGTCCTGCATTACCATAGTCAAATTTGTTATTTTCGAGTTTATATAAAATCAATTTTTTTGGGGGTCCTAATCGTTCTATTTATTATTATTATTATTGTTGTAATTTTTTTATTTTTTTTGGACATTTCCCTTATTTGGTTAGCTAAAAAAAAATTGATAAAATTTAAGTTAAAGTCAATAATTGATTATAGTCATATATTTTTTGGGATATATGACTTTTCGACCACACATTTCATCAGTTTTAATCAAAATCTATTAAAAATCTGATTCTTAGCGAAATCAACCAAATGAGGGCGTAACACTGTTCTTTTACTTGTATCATCTATATGATATGTATGTTGCACGATGGTGTATATTTCTTTATCACAAAATGTACACGAAGAATTACACAATGTCAAAGGGACACTTTTGTCATTTCACCAATTACCAAAAATATAAAGAGATTAAATGCTATTGTCACATTATTCTTGTTAGCTTGGAGGCTAATTAAAGTCAAAACTTAGATGCGTCTTTGTATGTCTAATTATACACGACTTCCTTGAAACGAAGGAATTGACTTCGGTGCTAGCACTGAGAGAGAGAGAGAAATTTGTGTGAGTTTTATGATTTAATTTCTATGGGGAGCAAAGAAGAAAGCAAAAAAATGGAAATTGATCTATCCCTCAAACTTGACGACAAGCAACAATCCAAGAACTATCAGGTCGACGAAGTAGAAGCACGAAGGGAAATTTTCCAGCCCGAAAAATTTAAGATTACTGAAGAGGTATAGTTTATTGGACTTTTGTAAAAAAAAAAAAAAAAGGTTGATTTTAATTATATTTTTCCAGTTTATATATGCAGTACATAATCAAATTTGCATGAGCTAATTTTTACTTTTTAGCTGTAAAATTCTATCAGATATCAATCCTACAGATGCAGATGAATCATATGAAGGAGGAGAACAAGTTATTAAGCAAAGCTGTAGAGCAAATTATGAAAGATTATTATGATCTTCAAACAAGATTTGCTATAATCCAACAAAACAAGGTAAATAAATTAATTAAAGTTTTGATCTCTTTTGTCTATAAATCACATATACTGCTGATTCGATTTAGGACCCAAAAAAAAATTTCTTTACGCTCAAAGGCGACGATCATGATTGGATTCAAGGGGCAAAAGAAAGTTCAAAGATGTTTGATCATATCAAGAATCAAAGGGTATTGTCATCAGCATCAGAAGAAGATGGTACAAAAGAAAGTGATGAATTAGGGTTATCTTTGACACTACGAACCAGTTCGAAGAAATTAGAGGAAGACAACACGAGGAAGGAGAATCTAGAAGGTACAACAGGATCTGCACCAGTTGAAGATAAGGTACAAGGCAGTAAAAACTTCCCTGGAATTACTTCTGCTCCAAATAAAAGAGCGAGAATTTCTGTCAGGGCCAGATGTGAAGCTGCCACTGTGAGTTTAAGTTCATTTGCTAGTTAATTTCATAAGTAAATATTATATTTGATAACTTATTTTCAAGAAATATGTACATTTTTAATCAGATGAATGATGGATGCCAATGGCGAAAATACGGACAGAAGATTGCTAAAGCAAATCCTTGCCCTCGAGCCTACTATCGTTGCACGGTAGCTCCTGGTTGCCCAGTCAGAAAGCAGGTACTTATTTAAAACTTTAATCTGTACATGACAGGATTGGCTAGCTAGTTAATTTCATAAGTAAATATTATATTTGATAACTTATTTTCAAGAAATATGTACATTTTTAATCAGATGAATGATGGATGCCAATGGCGAAAATACGGACAGAAGATTGCTAAAGCAAATCCTTGCCCTCGAGCCTACTATCGTTGCACGGTAGCTCCTGGTTGCCCAGTCAGAAAGCAGGTACTTATTTAAAACTTTAATCTGTACATGACAGGATTGGCTAGGTTGATCGGAAAAATCAAAATCGGGAAAAAACTGATATTATGTAATTTATTAGGTGCAAAGGTGTTTGGAGGATAAGTCAATACTTATCACAACATATGAAGGAGCACACAATCATCCACTTCCAGTAGGTGCAACAGCAATGGCATCAACAGTAGCCTCCTACATGTGTAATGAAATTACTACCTTAAACCAAACAAATTTCCCATATTTCACCAGCCCTCATATGACGTTTCCACCATTTCCATATGTTCCAAACCTAGGAAATTACATAAACCCTAATCTTGATCCTTCAAGGGGAGTTGTCCTCAGAAACAATGCTGGCGGTAGCTCTTCACGTTCACTAGAAAATTTGGGTTATTCTTCGAATGGAAATATTCTTTTTAACCAGATTTTTCCTGGCCATAAACTAGTTGAAGAATTACTCTCCAAAGGTGAAGGAAATAATAATATTAGTACTGCAATTGCATCAGATCCTAAGTTTAGGGTTGCTGAATGAAGAAACCAAAAAACTCATTCTTCTGGAGATGGGGACAAGTACTACAACATAATATCTGGAATATCTCGGCAAGCCCGTAATCTTTCCTGAGCCAGACAAGGGAAAAGGTCGTATTCTATGGGTACTATTCTATTATAAATGCCTTTTCGTTATGTCCAAAGTCACAGGCAATACCCATGAAATATAGAACAATATCAATAATGCTATAGAGATAGGCTGAAAAACATGATAAAAACATGGTGGACACGTGTCAAAGCATATTTGGACACTTTGAAAAAAAAAAAAAAAAATTCAATTTCTGCTAAACCAGTCCTCTTATTCCCCCATTTTTAGCCTGTCTGACTGACTTTATTCAATATGACTGACTTTATTCAATATATAGAATCTGGATTTGAATTTTGAAGTATTTTTGTTGACAGATTGGAAGATGAGTAATTGTAGATGAATGTTATACAAATTTGTTTTGATCTTTGGGATTTATATACTTTTATTTCTTATCTGAAAGTTCCATGTGAGGATTTGACTATAATGTTGTAAAACTCGAGGATTTTAATGTTTAAGAAGTATTTTAATACTGTATTTAATTACTTAGGTTTTCAATAAAAATCAGAACTTGAAATTATATTTAATTAGGGAAAAAAAAAAAAAAACCTATTTCTTTCTTCTTCTTTTTTATTATAAATCATCAAAAACAATTTTTTTCATAATATAGTAACATCTCTGTCTAATTATTTACATGGTTATTTTTAAGTTTATTTTGTTATATTATTTAAGGGCGATTTTCTTGACATATTCTCGAAAATTTGTGTGAAGATGGCAAACAATTTGGTGAAAAATCATCACAGTTTCACCTCTAATTACTAATGATTCAGATATTATATTGAATAATCTGAATTTAGTTAATTGATTCAGAGCGTTCCTTTTCTTTTTATTTCTTAAATAGGAAGTGTAAATTAAATCAAGGGTACGTGGTCATTCAACCTATTACGTCTAGCTAAGGTCGTAATAGGATAGCCGTTCCCATTCTAGAAGTTCCAGAATTTGAATGCAGCGGTCCCTAACGATACAATTGGAATCAATTATGGTCCCACCCTAGCTCGCAATAATGGACTACCGTACAATAAACCATGTTGATGTTTTGTATAGATAAAATTTAGATTTTTAATAGATTTTGATTAAAATTACTGAAGCGTGTCGTTAAAAAGTTATAATTTTTTTATGTCTCGTATATTAATGTTTTACCATCACCTCGTTTAACTTGTTAACAATGAAAAACAATTATTTATTTATCTTAATTCAAAACAAACCCTCCCTTGTGAGCCCATTTTTATCATTCAAAAACTTGTGTTGTTTAATATTTGATATTTCAACTAGAAATAATTGTGCTCGATGAAACGGAGTGAAGAAGAAAAAGAAACTAAAGTTTCATTCACTCCAATATTATCCAAAACCATGTACCAAAAAAGTGTACTAAAAATTGATTCCATATCCTATACTGCTGGAGAGAGTCGTACTTTGGATGGAAGGCACAAAGTTTCTCCAATATATTCTACAACTCCCAAATTCCAAAGCTTAAGAAAAATTTCCCAACACATTTTTCTAGGAAAGGAAACAAAATCCCCGTGATACTAAGTCAGACCGAGCCGAGGATCTTCTTGAAAACGGAAAGATTTAGGATAGGCAGCCAACCACGTAGATGGAGCAATATGCATAGACCTAGTGAGTATGAACGCAGCTAGCATCTACAATCATTCAAGAAGAGTCCCTGCAAGCTAAAACTAATTTACAAACTAGTCTACATCAAAAGAGAGCCTTTAGGTCGACTCCGTAGCTAGCCACTATCTACTTGTAACCAAGTTGTGGCCAATAGCTATAAACTATTATCACATGGCATTAATATTCTCGACATATCCCTTAAAACAATTTGGAAACTCAAACTATGGCCAACTCTGCCTTAATATTCAAAACCCCAAGAGTGAAAATCTAAGAACAAAAGCAAAATATAATAAATTTTTAATTTTCTCACTTTCATAGACTTTTCAAAACCATAATTGGCTGCTTGACAGATCCCCCTATTCAAAACCCAGACATTCACATATAAGTGACGTCTTTGAGCAGAATGATGCTCAAACTTTTGAACTTCAGAAAACTCTAGACCCTGTTCAGCAGGCAACGGTAATCAGAAGACATAATTGGGACTAGATCATTGGTACTTATTTCTATCCCCTCTTTCATTCAACAGTAAAAAAATAAAACCAACCTCCCCCCTCTTTCAACGTCCTACTAAGCTAACAGAACTTGGTGTCAATTGAAATAACTTAGTAACAAGATAATGGAAAGATACTCCATGCCAGGCTAACCGAGTCAGAAAATCAAGATTCCAGCTTAGTTTCAGATGAGCTCAATCCAGAAGAAATGCCATCAATGCTCCCAATTTGTGATTCTAACGGCAACAAAAACTTGGGCTGTACTTTTAGCGGTATTTTCAGCGATGGCTTCGAATTAATGAGCTGCACAATAGCACAAGAAACATTTAATTTTGCAACAAGAAGCACAGGATGCAAATAAATTTATTAACAAGAAAAAAAAAATATGCACCGTCTCTCACCTTAGTTACATCCCTGTAGAAAGCACTGATTTCCTCTTCAGTAAGGCCACCCTCATCAGCATTCTCCTCCCAGCCCATGGAGCGCAAAAATGCAGCCTCCTCCTCTGAAATTATAGGATCAGAACTTTGATGTTTCTTTCCATTACTGACGTATTTCTGCCCCTCACAAGCATCGTCATTGTATATGAGGTCACCATTCTTGTCAGACAAATGGCCCTCACTCGGGCTTACACACAATGGCGCATCACCAGCATTACAAGTACTTAAAGTAGTGACCTCTAATTCACCATACTTATCTGTAGCAGGTGGTGACACAGAAGTACCATGATCTGAAACAGACAACGAGTTTGCCATAGACTGATCAGGAATGGAAGAGGAATTTGCGGTGGATTTCTTCCTCATAAGTTTGAAAAAATCATTTCGACTTTGAGCTTGAGGAGTGGGTCTCTTCTCCAGCGCAATCGATACAGGCCTGTGCTCAGCAGGAATGATTGAGTTGTTTGGTGGGAACATAATGGGAACAGCTGCCGAAGCTGATGGAGTTATCGAAAGGGAGGAATTTACCAATTTGCTACTGCTCGTTGAGCTCAGGTCATCCTTTGCAGCAGAAGAGACAGCATTCTGCTCTCGCACTGGCTTGAGAACATGGAGCTTTCCCACGTTACTTGTCTTTGAAACATCAGACTTCGCGAGCCCACCCCGAGGAGATTGACTAGCAGAAAGTGAAGGTGAAATCGGAAAATGTAGCTGACCCCCCTTAGTTTTTTGTTTATCTGAAGAAGTCAAGACCTGAGGAAAAAGTTCAACATGATTAATCATTTCTTCAATTGTATCAAAAACTAAATAGCACAAGATGCTAAGTTGTCCGTTCATATTATGCCAAATGACCTCAAAAGCACGTAAAGCAGCCATTGTGGATTTCTCAAAAAAGTTATAGCTTTCTACAAGTCATTTCAATGGGTCAACAAATCAATTTCTGATAGCGATTAATAATTTGTTTCATGAAAAAGAAGAAACAACACTCCATGGCCTGGATATGCAATAGGTAACTTTTAGAAATTAATGATCAAAGGAAAAAAAAAAAAAAACAGATATATTAACATTTAATGTTCTTAAAAGTAGAACTGAATTGACGTCATTAACGTGTGAGGGAGACAGTTGCAAGTCTAAAAATAAAGATTCGGTGATCCAAAATATTGGATTGTGTTAGCCATGAGGTTCCAACATTTTATCCTTAATTGACCTAGGAGTAGTTCCCAGGCATTCTCAAAAAAAAGGTTATTATACACCCCAACCCCATCCCTCGGAAAAAAAAGGTAGCACCGAAGAAAGGAAAGAGCGAGATGGTGGTTTTTGTTGTTCCCGCGAAGCGAAGATCATTCCCTTGGCGAATGAAGTGGGTCAACCTCTTTTTGGCTTCGGCCACACACTTTTTCTCGCTGGTCGAGCTTTCTACAAAAAAAGCGATGCGAGAACGATGAGCGCAGATGAGGAGCAAGAAAACCAATAATATCTTTATTGTCCTTCTACTTAAAATATTGGATTGTGTTAAGTTGAGATGAAGTTCCATTGAAGTTAATAAACATTTCATTTCAAGGTATTATATATATGCCTGCATTAAATCGCAGTTTGGATTTTACTAAATAATCATCATTTTCTGCCTTCGACACCAAAGAGTTCGAGGAAAATTGGCATTTAAGACACTACTACTCATATGCTGTCACCAAGCTAGTTGCTCCCTATTGTCCCACTGGCTTCCTCTTAGCTCTCAACTTTTCCTTTGCAGTCGTCAAAAGTTATCCAACCTATCCCACCCCAAAAGACTTAAAGAGTATCCTATTCTATTTCATCCCATTGAATTCAATATTCAAAGTTACAATCAGATTTATTTATTAGAAGAATCGATCAATACAGTTCATATGCACCCAAAGGTGCTGTATTTGGTTTTGGATCAGATTACATATCAATCTACATTATTCACACACGAGATCTGGGCCCTTAATTTTTCCTAATCATTCAAGAAAAAGATCAGTCTCTTAATAAAAGATAGGGATAGATTCCCCTTTGCTTATGCCTTTCTTGAGATGGTAAAAATATTCCTGCAATTAGGGAATATCAATATTAAGTAGCGAACGATTTCAAGAACAAGCGCTTGTAATATACTAATATGGTTAACTTATACAAAAGTCGGATGAACCACTGCCAACGTGAAAGAGAAAGTTGCAAAGGTAGCAGTGTCAATTTTGGCAGGGATGTTTATTGATTGATGATAACTGCTCTTTCTAACATCATCTAATGGAATAATTATTTTTCTTTCGGAAGATAGCATAGGTCCTCCAGCAGGTCTCCATTCATCTCAGCTGAAGAACTACACAAACAGATATTTGATTCACCCTAGACATTTAAAACTATTAATTCTTATGGAGAAACCGCATTTTCCGTAGTGCCTAGACACGTTCCTTTCTCTCTGTTTAATGTATTTTACATCTCTCCTGAAGCAAATCATTTAGAATTTCCAAGACTAAACCATCCTGATTTAATAGCAATTCAACCAGAGTCTAATATTAAAAATCCTAAACAGTCCACAATAAGGAAAATGCAATTCAAAAATTATTAAAGCAGAATATAAAAATCCGGAAACCTATTCAATTCTATACCTTTAAAGAGTGACTAAATAGAATACAATTGAGGCATATAAATTCATATACGAAGGATGCATATTGAATTTCAAAGCAAAAGTACGTATTTCACTCTTACCAAGGGTTTCAGCATGGACGGTGTTACCGGAATCAATTGCCTAGATTGTTTTTTCGCTAGTTTTTCAAGTCTCTGAGTTCCAGCAGGCAACTACAAGAAAACAAAAAACAACCATTAGCACGACAACTTTCAATTCCCAAAATAAGGAGAAACTGAACCTACCTGACGCATATTCTGAACACGATCAGGACCCTGAGCCACAGTTGCAGCCATATTAAGACCAATGGTTGTGCCCAAAGCCATAGGGGCAGAACTTGAAGGAGTAGCTAGTCTTCCAGTTAAAATGGGCACTTCTGCCAAAGCAGACGTCCATTTTTCGCCACCTATCATGGCTGAGCTACCAATGGGTAAGTTCTGAATAGCAGTACTCAAGCCAAGAGACGGAATCCTTCCAGCCTCTGGTGTAGCTGGTCGTTCTTCCGCTCCCAATGATGGAAAATCCCTCTCAAAAGAGGATTTGTTGAAACTGCGAACAGGACTGCCATTAGTAAGCTGACCTTTGCTGTTGTTTCCGCCGGTATTGCTCAAACTAGTTGCAACTTTCTTTGGCCATAACTCCCCACGTTTCCTGGAAATCGGCTGTGAGTGCCTCAAACTCTCTTGCTCAAATTTACTAGACCAAATGTTGCCCCCCAATGGATCTGAAATGTAATGGTGTCTACGGTCCCCCAAAACAGACTTTTCTTTATCATGAGAACCATATGTGTCCTCCCATTCCCTATCGTGGTGATTCCTAGTGAAACTACCATAGGACCTCAAGTGACCAGAACCGTTACTACCGGAACTCCGACGGAAAGATGTAGTACTGTCCATACCAGATGGCCAACCTAAATCATGACCATTGCTTTCCACAAATGACTTATTTCTTGCTAATTTTGATGCAGTATGATCATCTAAAACAACAAAACCATGTTTAAAAAGGTTCAAGCCTACGAACTAGGATATATCCAATATAAGATGTTCATTTAAAAAGGATAATGTTTACCTGAATGTGATGCCGTGCCACCACCAGCCAGACTTCCACAGTTTTTCAGCCATTCTGGTACTAATGTGGGTTCACTTCTTTCCATAACTGATGCCAAACATTATAGAATACAAAGAATAATGGAAAAGATAATCTACTTGTCTTCTTCTACTTAATGACCATGTATCCACAGCACTATGCCAAGTGATAACTGACACGTCTCCCCTCCCGGACAAAATTGAATGCTTTTTTTAAAAAAGTGAATCCAAAATTTCATCCTAATCTGAAATTTCCTATGCACTAAACCCTTTATCCTTTAGGTCAAAGCCCTTACTGCGCTGTTTTATAACTCAGTGGTTAGTGTTGCATTAACTGAATCCATAGAACCCCAAATACATTCCTCCAGAAAAGCCCACTTACGAATAAAAGAATCTGAATTATTCTATATATAGAGGGAACTGTTGTTTTGTTTCTTTTTCTCTCTCTTTGTACAATTTACAAACACGGTCTAGCTACTGAGAAAAAAAAGCTGCTCAATTTATTCAGAATCCAAACTTCTGCCGTTTTCAATTCCCGGAAACAAAATCAACAAGGGCTTCTCACGGCCTCACTGACCAAGAAAAAACGCGCCAAGAACGGTCTTGTGTTTCAGTGTCGAAAAAATTCAATAACCAGCCGTAAATTACAATACTCCATGCATAAATCTTTCCAAGACAACGCAATCCTTCAATAAACACTCGTGTCCATTTGTATTATGTAAAAAGCGGAGATAATCAAACCCTAGACGCAAACCATCCAATAACAACAAAATAATCCTAAATCCCAGAAAAATCCTCACGTTTAAACAGTTAGTAACATGGAAAATTACCAAAAATTGGGAAACAGTCCCAGTATATCTTAACAATTAAAGAATAGACTGACCCCGAATTTTATAAATAACATTAATTATTAAAATAATACCATTCCAGTCTTCCGCACACCAAAAAAATACCCTTGTTCTCGACCTCGTCGCCTTTGAATGAATTGCTTTTGGAAGTCTGAAAATTTGTCGAAATTTATAGAGAATGAGAGAGAATAAGAACGCCAACTGTACTGGATTTCATAAATCCTGGTCTATTTTTATATGCTATTTGGCAAAGAATCGATGTCCTGTGCGCTTATACAGATAGCGGAGATTAGCTATAGAGATTTCGTTAAGAGGAAGTTTTGCACATGTGTGTTTGAGCAGATTTCTGTTATGTAGCCCAAGTTTTCTTGTTTATTGCCAATAGTATTTGGTGCAGGGTTACTTGGAGGACATGTACGTGCTCTGGTCTAATCCTAATCTCTATCTAATTTGGTTACATATTTTTTGACCTTTTGTAATTTTTCTTTTAGTTCAGAAATTGAGACAATATTAAATACATCGTTTAACTTTGTGACAATATCGGAGACATCCTTTAAATTTCTCGATTTCTAATTTTGAATATCATGTTCATTCCTTTTGAGTTACATATCATCTAAAATGAGATCGATACACCTAAAATACTCTTATTAAGAAAAATATGAAATTGGTCAGCGAAATATACATGATATTTTAATGAAGCATCTCTCATATCGTCTCATTGAAATTTCAACCACAAGTTTGAAGCTTTGTTAAAGGGTCGTCAAGCGTGTGTATATTATGCCCTTATTTGAGCTCCATTTTTTCACTAAAATATATTTTTTAAGAGTGATTTGATATCATTTTAACTACACATTCTTTAATAAAATAATATTATACGCAAATAAAAAAAAATTCTTATTTTTTAACCACACATTTTCCATCATTACACTATTCAAAAATTCATTTTCTCCCTTAAAATGGGGTTCAAACAAGGCCTATATCTATAATTTGATCAATACAAGAAAAACTTTAAGGATTTTTCGTTGAGGTTATCTCATGCTGATTGTGAAAATGGTTGGTGGTCAGTTTATAAATGTGAGAGAAAAATTCATCTTATGAATTAGTTTTTGAAGTTGAGAATGTCCAAAACCGCATAATACTGGTATTAAACCCAAGCTATCAACAAGTCTTGGCCCAACAATCTACGAGAGATACATGTTTTCTCCCACCCAAGGTCTGATGTGTGAGGGAGAGATTGTTAAAGTTATCTCACATCCCTTATGAAAATGGTTGGTGATCAGTTTATAAGTGTAAAGAAAAATCTCATCTCACGCGCTAGCTTTTGAAGTTGAGAAAGCGCAAAATCATTCAACACTTTTAAGGGGTGGGATTTTTTTTAATTAAAAAGTAGATTACAAATTTCTTTACTATGAATTTGATAAAAAAGGTGCAGGAAAAGGAGCTTTTTCTCTTTGGCTTGTGTAAGAAGATAACAGAGTTTGATTTCAAATCGAGAATGGTCATATAAAAAATTAACGATGATATGGAAGAGTTTGAAGATTGCAAGTAACACTTAACAAGATTATATAATTAAGTAAATAATTATATGTATATCGCAATAGCCATTGCAATACTCTGTAGTAACTATAAAAAATATTTCTTCTTCTTCTTCTTCTTCTTCTTCTTCTTCTTCTTCTTCTTCAATTATTATTATTTTTTTGCTTATCTTATTTTCCTTGCTAGGACAGGGACGTTATACAAATTTGTTGGTGAACCTTCAAATCTCAATCGGAACCAGATATTCCATTAAATAGTTTATGAACCCGGAAAAATCTATTACCCTTGATTTAGAATCAATTATTTAATGTGTTTCAAAGAATCCTATATTTCATGTTATCATTAGATTCCTCGTCATCTTTTTGTCTCTCTATATGTTACATGTACACCTAAACACTATTAACATGTGAATGCATTTGTTCCGATGAAAGATCTAACAACTGTTCGCATTTTGTGGGGGAAAAAAGAACGTAAATGGACAGAGTTTTGAATGGGGTTTGATTTTTCACACCTTTCTCCATCCGATCGAGTGCGGAATACTTATAATTGATCATAAGCAGGCCGTCCCAAGGAATGTGAGTGAGATGAAAAAATATGAAAAACTTGAGCACTTTGTGAAATGAATGAATGCAAATAGAGTACAACCAATTTAAAAGCAATTATAAACCTGGACAAAAATGACTTCGAACGGACACGTTGTTCACTTACTAGTTGGGTCCTTCACCTTGTCACAAAATGATTCTGTTTGATCATGTGCATATTTGACAGAGCTTAAATTAATTTTAGCAATTCAAACACAATTTTTGTATTGTAAGACCTATTATTTAAATTTATTTTAAACATTTCAAAACGTGTGCCCTGTTTCTTTCATACGGTTATTTTTCGTATGTGGTAATGGACCCCTCACCACATGGCTATAAATTGATGTTCCTTCAATACCAAATAAGCCAAACTCTAAGTTGAGAAATGCAAAATCATGCCCTCAACGGCACTTCTCTACTGTCAAAGGACGGGTTTTCTCAAACTGACAGATCAGAGGTTGTGAGTTAGATTTTTTAGGCTCTTGAAAGGCAAGACAAATACTGGAAGGCAAGATTTATCCTAGAAGGTAGGATGTCTTGGAAGGCAAGGCACAACATTGGTTGGCTCATTAGGCGCTTTGGCAGTCCAGTTAGAGATGTGCTCAGACCCTGATCAGTTGGAGGCACATCCCGCGGTTTAACTGGTCTGTATGAAGAGGGGCCGGAACACAGACTTAAGGAATAGCCGCCGAAG